TAAATCTGAATGCCTTTCAAACACCAAAGATTTACTTCCTGTTCACACTACATGTGCATCAAGGGTCGGCTGGGGGCTCTGCTCCAGGTCATCCAGAACCTGAAAGGAGATCTACCATCACTGCCCACTGTCACCGTGTCAGAAGGAAAGAGAGGTCTGGGATAGCCTAGTCCAGAAGTGACATCACTTCTATGCTCATTGGCTCATTGGGTGTAACCAGTCACATGGCCCCGCCATGGGGCCCACAAGTATAATCCTGACTTGGACCCAGAAGGCAGAGAGCTGGGACTATCCGGTGAAGAGCACTAACAATGCCCACAGTCTACTCCATGGGGCCTGCCAACCAGAGCCCGCCTCGGGAGGGAACAGAAGAAAAAGGCACTGAAATGGAGGCAGGAGATCTGAGTTTCATTCGAAGCTGAGCCACTGGGCCCCGTACATCCCCTTAGCACCATTAAGGGATGGAGGAAGTCCCCACTTTGGAGTGTGGTCACAGAAGGTAGTCCACTCAGACGGCACATGGCAGCAGCAAATGCTCAGAGCACAGCCCACCAATGAAGCACTGGAGGGGCTGGGAGCAACCAGGGCCAGGAGCTGAGCCCAGCTTGCTAAGCACGGGCAGACAGGCAGCCTCGTCCTTGCTCATAGGCCACTGCATGTCCCCCCAGAAAGACGGGCACTCCTCAGTAGCCCTAGGATCCCTGTGGAAATAAACCCTCTACTTGCAACTGGCTGAGGGGCAGCAGGAGCTGGGCTATCTGGTGCGTCCACGGGCCTCTTGGGCCCATACTCCGTTTCAGCTGTAGACAGGTGACAGGCCACCCTGAGTCCCACGAAAACACTGGCACAATGAGTGAGGGTTTGCTTGCACCTGAGATGCAGTCATTACATAAATGATGGGTTTGGTGGAGGAATGTGGTGAGGGTTATATTAGTTATCATGGGCTAGATTATGCTGCAGTAACAAACAACTCCAGAATCTCAGTGCCTTAAAACAACCAAGGTTTATTTCTCACTCCTGCTGTTCCATTAGGGGCCACCTAGGGCCCCTACTCCACGTCCCCTCACTCTGGGACCTAGAATGACAGATCGGCCACTGTCTCAAATCATGTTGGTTATCATGGCGGATGATGCAACCCAGAGATTAACTTCTAACCTTGGGGTCTGCTCCCAGTCCCAGGCTCCTAGTCCGGTTTGGTCATACATTATGGACCGCTCACTATGTTATACCTGACCGTCTGTATACAGAGTCAACATATTGACTATATTCTGCCATTTGGTGGAAGGCAGTATCAAAAATCTTAAACGGCCTGATCCTATAGTTAGAAGAACAAATTTCCCATTTATTCATTCACTATTTTTTTCATCCATCCCTCTATTACATATTTACTGAGAGCCTGTTTGTACCAGGCCCTGTTCTAGGTGCTGAGGACACAATGATGAATAAAACAGACAATCCCTTGCTTCATGAGATTTAAAACTTAGTGAGGGAGACAGAGGTTAACCAAATAACTTCCCAACCCAAATGTAAATTTGCAACTGTAACATGTTATTAACATTTACTGAAGACTCGAAATTATGCTAAATGGACTGCTAAAATGGAGCTTAATCCTTTTCAAGATCCTGAGGCTGAGAGGTGATGCAACTTTCCCAAAGTCACACCACCCCAAACTGATGGAGGTAGGATTCCAATCCAGTACCATCTGATGCAAAGAGCCCACACACTTGGCTGCCTTTTCAGATCTCCCTTGGTAAACTCTGGATCTCACTTCTTCCAGCTTCTGCCCTTTCTTTCTTGAGATTTAGTTTGGCCTTGTGGAGGTTCCATCCTCTCATACAGTCTTTGACATAAAATATTCCAGCACCTAATATACACAACTCACTGGGCTCATGCGAATTCACTGAGAGCCAACTATTATTTTTTTCCTAAAGGATATCTGAAAATGAGATTACTACCTGGGCCAAAATTAAAATATGCTGTGTAGCAATTGCTAAAGATTATTATTAATACGTCAATGGCGCTCCCTGGTGACAATTATTGTATATTACACTTTCCTTGACTTTGGGGAGGAGTGCATTTGGGAAATACTGGAAGCCTCCTATTGCAAATTTGGATGAATAATAAGCCTCCTCTGGTCTTGATCACCCTCACTCCTCATGACCCTCGCCCCATCACATCCCATTGATATCAATTCCAGAGGCAAGGTCACAGGTATAGGGTGCAGCCTCTTTTCATATCTCAGAGTTCTAGCAACCAGGACACAAGGTTCCCATAAGATTACCAAAGAGTTAAACACCATTTGCTGCCAATTTCGGGGATCACTTACGCATTTGGTCATAATGGATTAATCCATCATCTCCTCCTGTCTCTTTCAAAAGTAGTGGCTACAAATGACACCCTCCCCTCACCCCCTCCACACACAGACACATTCTCTCTCTCTCTCTCTCTGATCTTATTCCATGACTATAGGAAACAGACAAACACAATCCACTTTGCACTAGGTATTGTGCTTTGGGTTGGGGACACAGTAATGGACAGCAAGCTGTGGCCCCAGCTCTAAAGCTTAAACTGTAGCAGGGGAAACAGGTGGCCAATTAGCCTATAAATTATTCACTTTCAATTACAGTACCGCTACAAGAAAGAGGCTCTGAGAGTCTGTGTCAGTGAGACAAGGCCAGTTTAGGTCAGAGGGTCAGAAAAGTCTTCCCTGAGGAAAGAGAGTATGGTCTGCTGTGCCAAAATGGAGAAGAGGCTGGTCAAAGTGATCAGGGAGCCAGGAGGAGAATGAATGGGGGGGCCCAGGCAGCCTGAACTGGACCTCTCGTGGGGCTAAAGGTGAGTGATAAGAGTGTGGCAAATTAGGAGGATAATCATTAAGTAATCTCCAGGATGGTTAAGTATTAAGAGAGAATGTTGGTTATTAACTTAAACTTCGAGGAAGATTGATCTTGAGTTAAAGGATGAGTATAAACTAACACCCGGATATTCATTTGGAGGGTTAAATTCTCTTGAACAGGAAAAGTGGAAATCATCCCAGATCTCTGTCTACTATGCCTCTTCCCAGCAGCAAAGGATATTGAAGAATTTATTATTTACATCCCCTCCACTGCTTATGTAAGGTGAGGAAATAACAATAGCAGAACTGCTGGGGTTGTGGGCAGGAGTTAAGTCAATTATGACCAAAACTCTGAAAGTAAGAGAGGACAGTGGTAGCAGTTCCAATGGTGAACTGTCACTACAAAAAAAAAAAAATCAGAAAAAATGGCTTACCTGGCGAAAGATGCCAGCTAGCTCTCAGGATGTAGCACACCTTAGATTAAACATCACCAAGATTTGGATTCAGGAAACCTGAATTCAAATCCTCATCTTCTACCTCTAGCTACATGATCAGGTAGCAAACTCTCTGTATTTCCATTTCCGCCTCTGTAAAATAGCAATAATATCTGCTTTTTAGATTGTGAGGTAGTGTGTGTGAAGTACTTAGCATCATGCCTGGAATATACCAATTATTCAGTATTAGTTTATTATTATTATTATTATTATTATTATTATTATTATTATTATTAACAATATTTAATATTTGGAAGGAAATACACAGAGAACCAGCACATTTTTCCATTATTTTTCAGTTTTCTAAAATAAGTATGCATTTCTATTAACATCAGAAAGGGGGGAAACTCCACATGTTTTTGAATAAAAGAAATTCGCCTAGTCCACTGCTTCCCACATTTCCCGTGGCATATTGTTTCAGAAGGGCACAGGAGTACATGTTAAAACCACAGCGTCCTAAGCTCCGACCCAGAATACTAACTGAGAATCTCTAAGTGACAAACCTGTTAATCTATCGATTCTTATTCGGGCACTTCTGCGACGTGCTGCTTTGGAGCGAGGTGGCAGTAACGGGGCGAGGAACGCCAGCCCAGGCTGCCGCAATCATGAGGGCCTACGCCTACGAGTCCCATGCTGCCCCGCAAACTGGAGACGAGAGTCCGGAGCCTGCTGGGAGTTGTAGTTTCTCTCGGCCAGACCTCAGCCTATAAGAAAGCCCGAGCTGACGGCCGGAAAACCTCCCGCCCCACAATGCAAAGGTCATCGGTGACGTCATTCGCAGAGCGCCCGGGGTGGGCCGGGCGGTTTCTGCCGCCTCTACCACCACCCCCGCTGCCTCCGAACCTGCCGCCGCCACCGGGGCCACGTCCCCCGCCGCTCCCGCCACCCCCCCTTCCTCCTCCTCCTCCCCCGCCGCCTCCTTCTCCTGCCCCTCCGCCACCTCCACACGACCCAGGTCCTCTGTCCCTGAGGGGAAGCCGTATTCGGTCTCCTT